TTGTAAATTTTAATTAAAATAATAAAAAAATTAAAGAAAAAAAAGAAGTTCCACAAACACCAAACTAGACCCCAAAAGAAAAACAACAAGATGTATTCTCCAATATAAGAAATATTCTCCATATTCACATTCTTCATAATCAAAGACAGAGTCTAAAAGCAGCACAAGAAAAAGTGACCTACTAAGTTCTCTTTTCTTAGCATAAACCATATGAGCAAGAAGACTATGAGATGGCTGAAAGAAAACAATTGCCAGCTGAGGATTGATTATGTACCCAGCAAAAAAACTGTTTGTGAGAATTATATGCTAGGACAGTATGACAAGAGAAGGAAATAAGAGGCATCCAGATTGGCAAAGAGGTAATAAAATTGTCACTAAATGCAGTCAATACAGTAGTGTACACAGAAAACTGCAAGGACTCAACAAAAAACGGTTTGACCTAATAGACCAATTTAGTAGAGTGGCAGAATACAAAATAAATATACCAAAATCAATGGGATTCTGCTACAATAACAAAGAAAACACAGATAAAGAATCCAAGAAAGTAAAACCATTCACAATAGCCAATGATAAATTGAGATACTTGAATATAAACCTAACAGGACAGAAAAAACACCTTTATAAAGAAAAATACAAAACATGACTTAGAGAAACAAAAGATCTAAATATCCTCCCAGGCTAGGAAGACTAACTACAATGAAAATGACAATTTTCAGCAACCACTCTGCAATGCAGTTTGGCATTTCCTCAGAAAGCTGAACACAGAAGTTCCATATGACCTTTCTATTCCACTGCTAGGAATATCCTCCAAGGAAATTAGAACCGAGGCACAAACGAAAATGTATATACCACTGTTCTAGCGGCATTATTCACAATAGCAATAAAATGGAAACAGTCCAAATGTCTATCAACAAACAAATGGATTAAGAAATTGTGATATATTCACATGACAAAGCTATGCAGCACTCAGAAATAATGATTTTGAAAAATACTGTATAACATGGGAGAGGCTTTTATGCTTAGTGAACTAGCTCAAACTCATAAGGATGAATACTGCATAAGACCATTATTGTAAAAACTGTTTTAAGTAGTAAGATGTGTATAAAATTCCAAAAGAAGAAGAGGAAGATGCAAGGGGCCAAGGGTGTGGAAATCACAGGGTAGCAGAGTTTGGTGTGTGGAGGAAAGGGGTGAAGGAATGAGAAAAGATCCAGTGGGTATCTGAAAAAAAGTGGGGTGATAGTGGACACAGATCAATGATAATTGGTTTTATAAAGTGCAAATTATGGAAATGATCATATGAAACACAATGTGAAGGAAGGAATGTGTGAAACAATGCATATGAATTTTGTATCCAAACCAGTATTAAAAAAGTGTTATTTGCCCCAACATTCCATCTGTCCTCAAGTGCTGCTAATAAAATTAAATTAAATTAAATTAAATGTGAAAATAAAATAAAATAAAAATATATAATGTTGGCTCTGTAGCATTTTGACCTTAATAATTTACCAGCTGTCTTAAGCACACTAGCTACCAGCTGACGTGGACTAGTGGACCCAGGTGAGCTACAAAAATAAAAGTACAGGTCACCACTTACCCTCAGATAGGCCATAAGCTCACGCAAAGCTGGGATCTTACTTTTCTCCAGCATTGTCTTCAGGGAGATGATAATTGGAATAATATTTTCTATGAAATTCCTCTTTTGAACCTGTTATAAAAAACAAGATGTATAAATTTTAGACATGTAATTCCTTGACCTACCAAATTCTTCAGAATAACTCTAAAGGATTGGCTCAGGTACACTTGCCCCACACCATCCATTACCTTATGTTCATATGAAAGGTAGACAATTAAGAAAGACCAAGTGAGTCAATGCATTTGAATTTCAGGACAGATGAAGATTACAGAATGCATAGCAGACTGCCAAAAGGACAAGTAAATCTGTTTTGGAAGAAGCACAGCCAGAATGTGCCTTTTCTAAGAGAATGGTGAGACTCTGCCTCCTTTATTTTGATTGTATTATCAAGAGGGCTCAAAGCCTCCTGATTAGACATCACCCTTGATAAAGTAGTAGAGGATCAGAAAAAAAAAAAAGAAAGGCCTTCGGTGAGATGGAATGATAATGGCAGCAACAATGATGACCAAGGGGATGGACTAGCAGTGAAGAGTGGGCTCCCAGATAACGACCAGGACTGAACTACTGAACTATGGGCTCAGATATAATAACCCCCGGGCTTGGGGTGGACAAAGACTGAACAACAGGCTGAAATATAATGACCAGAGGATGGAGCAGGACTTAACAGTGGGCTCAAATATAACAACTGGAGGCTGGACAAGGACTGAACAATGGGCTGAAATGTAATGACCAAGGGGATGAAATAGGACTAACAATGGGCTCAAATAGCACGACCCTAGGGGTGGACCAGGAGTGGGCAACATTTGGCTGTGGGATTGCTGAGACTACCAACTTGAAGGCACCAACAACATACAGACATTTCTTTTTGGGTCTGCTCCTGGGACTGTATAGGACCAACTGCTTTTGTGCTGGAGACTTTACAAACACTGACTTACAACCCAAAAGGCTTTGTAAAGTAGGAAGAGGATACCATTTCTCCCGCATATATGAAGTAGGAGAAATATGTTGAAGAATTTGACAAAAGTACCCAACTACCATAAATTCAGTACAGACTCTCATCTTACTCCATGACCAGCCCATTCAATAGTTTCCCTCTAGGAATGGAGAATTGGCTTAACTGGGGCTAGACCATTCCATGTCCCTGTTGGTTAAATGACAATTGTCTAAAAACTTCTAAGCACAGAAGAGTTAGCTCTTGCTAATTTTGGTAAACTTTATATACATTTAGAAAAGTGCTACACATTTTTATATACTTGCCTTAATCAAGCTTTAATAATCTTTACCAAGAATGGTCATTAACTACAAAATGTTTTACAAGAGAACTCTTAGAATGAAAAATGGGTTATTACAGTAGCCCATATATATAAGATTCATCCTTCTGACTCTGAAAGTACTTGTTCTTCTCATTTAAAGTCACTAGTATATGTTCCTTGCTTTGAAATCACTCTTTTACCCAAGAGTGTTAACAGGTTCTGAAACAAGAGGACAAAAGGCAGAGACCTAGACAATAAGAAGATAGTTTGAGAATAATTTTAAAGTGATTTATAGAACCTTCCAAACTCGTTTTCTAACAAGCAATATCATGGAACCAAAGTCAAAGACACCACAGAAAAACCAAACGGAATAACTCATGAATACAGATAGAAAAATACCAACAAACAGGAGCAAACCTAATCTGACAGCATAAAAAAAGGATTATATACCATGACCAAAGGAGATTTATATGAGTTAGTTCAACAGAAGAAAACCAATCAGTGTAATGTATTCACATTAATAAAAGATTCATATGATCATCTCATTTAATGGATAAAATGCTTTTGACAAAATCCAGCACCCTTTCATGATAAAAATACTAAAAACCTAGGTATAACAATCTTCCAATATTATAAAGAGATTTAAAGAAAAACATAAAGCTAACATCATACTCAATGGAGAAAGACTGGAATTTCCTCCCAAAAGATCAGGAACAAGACAAGGATGCCCACTCCCCTCCTTCCCCCAAGTCTGTTCAGTAATGTACTGGAAATTCTAGGCAGAGAAACTAGGGATAATAAATAGCATCTCAATTGGAAAAAGAAATATAAACTCTATTTATAAATGACATGATACTATATATAGAAAATACCATAAGTCACAAGAAAGCTACTAAAGCTAACAGAGGAATTCAGCAAATGGCAGGACACAGGATCAACATTTAAAAAAAAGAACAGCTGTGTTTCTACCTAACAGAAGTGAACAATTAAAAAGATTAAAAAATGGACAAAATATTAATCCCAATTACAGTAACATCTAAAATGATAAAATGTCTGAGAAATAAATTTAACCAGGGAAATAAAAATTATGTAGTTCAAGAAAATGAAAGAAAATACAAATAAATGGAAAGATACTTTGCATTCATGGAATGAAAGACTTATTATAAAGTTGTCAAAAGTGATTTACAGATTCCATGTAACCTCTTTAAAAATCCCAAGAGCTCTTTCTCCCTGAGAAATGAAAAACCCAATCCTCAAAAACACACTGAATGCCAAGGAATCCTGATTAGCCAAACCAATTTCAAAAAGTAACGTATGAAGACTCACATTCCCCAAACTCAAACATAAAACTACAGTAATCAAAACACTCTAGTACAGATATAAACAGACAAACAGATCAACAAACTGAAAATCCAGAAAAAAAACCCTTCCATGCATCTGATTTTTACAAGGGTGCTAAGCCCATTTAATGAGTCAAAGAATAGTCTCTAACAAATGGTGCAGCAATAACAGGGTCTCTATATGCAAATGAACAAGGCCAGACTCATCACATGTTGTTATGTGCCCTTGAGTCATTTGCGACTAACAGCGACCCTATGTACAACAGCCCTAAACCCTGCTCTATCCTGTGCCAACTGCACTGCCTCTGACACACCCATCCCGATTACCCCAGTCACCGAATCAATCCACCTCATAGAGGGTCTTCCCCTCCTGCGCAGTCCCTCCACCCTTCCCAAGCATGATGTCCCTCTCTAAGGACCTGTCCCTTCTTACAACATGTCCAAAGTATGTCAGATGAAGCCCCAGAATCCTTGCCTCCAAGGAGTAGCCTGGTTTAACCCTCTCGAGGATGAACCTGTTCGTTTTCTTAGCAGTCCATGGTACATTCAATATTCTTCTCCAGCACCAGAGCTCAAAGGCATCAATTCTCCTTCTATCCTCCCTAGTGACTGTCCAACTCTCTGATGCATAACAAGTGATAGCAAAGACCACGGCCTGTATCAGGTGCACCTTAGTCTCCAGAGAGACAATGTTGCTCTTGAGTACTTTAGAGAGGTCCCTAACAGCAGACTTTCCCATTGCAATACATTTTTTTTTATTTCCTGGCTGTTGGGGCCAAGAGTGTTGACTGTGGAGCCGAGCAAACTGAAGCTGTGAACAATCTCAAATCTCTTCACCATCCATCCTGATGCTACCAATTGGTCCAGTGGTGAGAATCTTTGTCTTCTTGACATTGAGCCTCAGTCCATACTGAAGGCTGCAGTCCTTGACCCTCTGCAGTAAGTGCATGAGGTCCTCTTCAGTTTCAGCAAGCAGGGTTGTGACATCTGCATAATGCAGATGGTTAATAGATCTTCCACCAATCCTGACGCCACACTTCTCCTCATAGAGCCCAGCCTCTTGGATAATCTGTTTTGCATACATGTTGAAAAGGTATGGAGACAGGACACATCCCTGGCATACACCCTTCCCAATTGTGAACCATGCGGTGTTACCCTGCTCTGTTCTGACTACTGCCTCTTGGTCCAAGTATAGGTAAGAAACATAACGCAGGTTATACACATGGATTTCACCTGATGGTATGCACAGGAATCATATCGTTTACATCTGCGGAAAAAACCTCTGGAGAAGCTCAATATCAGCTGTGAAAACTAGGCCAGGAACTGATTGTGGAACAGACCACCAACTACTCATAAACAAGTTCAAGCTGAAGCTGAGGAAAATGAAACTGAATCCACCCGAGCCAAAGTATGACTTTGAGTTCATCCCACCTGAATTTCAGAATCACCTCAGGAACAGGTTTGAGGCCTTGAACACTAAGGAGCAAAGACCAGATGAGTTGTGGGAGGATTTCAAATGCATCATCCAGGAAGAGTGCAAACGTTCATTACAAAGACAGAAGAGGAAGAAAAGACCAAAATGGATGTCAGAAGAAACTCTGAAGATTGTACTGGAGCGTAGAGAAGCCAAAGCACAAGGAAGAATTCAAGATACTAAAGAGCTGAACAGAAGATTCCAAAAGTCAGCACGGAATGACAAAGCAAAATATTACAATGAAATGTGAGAGGAGCTAGAGTCGGAAAATCAAAAGGGCCAAACTCGTTCAGCATTTCTTAAGCTCAAGGAACTGAAGAACAAATTCAAACCTCGAGTTGCTATAATCAAGCATGCTTTAGGCAGAATATTAAATCAGCCAGGAAGTATTAAAAGATGGAAGGAATATACTGAGTCATTGTATCGAAAGGAATTGCCAGATACAGAAGAATTTAATGAAGTAACATTTGAGAAAGAGCCTATGGTGATGAAGGAAGAAGTTCAAGCTGCTTTGAAGGAAACAGCAAAAAATAAGGCCCCAGGAATAGATGGTATACCAACTGACGTATTTCAGCTAACAGATGCTGCCCTGGATGTGCTCACCAAGTTGTGCCAAGAAATCTGGAGAACAACCACCTGGCCAACTGACTGGAAGAGATCTATATTTGTTCCCATTCGTGACCCAACAGAGTGTGGAAACTACAGAACAATATCATTGATTTCACATGCAAGCAAGATTCTACTGAAGATTATCCAAAAACGACTGGAACAGCACATCAGCAGAGAATTGCCAGAAGTCCAGGCTGGGTTTAAAAGGGGTCGGGGTACTAGTGATGTTGTAGCTGATGTTTGATGGATCTTAGCTGAAAGCAGGGAATACTAGAAGAATGTCTATCTGTGTTTCATTGATTATGCAAAGGCATTTGACTGTGTGGATCATAACAAACTGTGCCTGACTCTGAGAAGAATGGGAATACCACAACATCTTCTCACATAACACAGAAA